TTAGCCGCTTGAGCCACAGGCGCCGAGCCCATTATTCAGACTTAAAAGAAATTCTGACACGCAATGTATATACTTTGAGGACACTGTGCTAAGTGAAATAAGCTAGTCACAAAAGATGATTCCACTGTTGATTCCACTAATGTGAAGTACTTAGAGTAGGCAAAATCACAGAGATAGAAAGTAGAAAGATGTTTGTCAGGGGACTTGGGAAGTTATTTCCTAAATGGGTATAGAGTTTCAGTTTCAGGAAATGAAAGAATTCTGTATATGGATGGTAGTGGTGGCAATGGTTGCACAACATTATAAATGTTACTTAATACCTCTGTACAGTACACTTGAAAATGGTGAAGGTGATAAATTTTATGTCATGTGTATTTTACCACAATTTTTAAAAAATGATAAAGAAAAAAAAAACAACCCTAATTAACCTGGGCAACATAGGGAGATCCTATCTCTACCAAAAATTAAACAATTAGCCAGGCATGCTGGGGCACACAGACGCTGAGACAGGAGGATCACTTGAGTCCAGGAATTCAGAAATTCAACAGTGCAGTGGGCTATGATATTGCCACTACACTCCAGTCTAGACTACAGAGCAAAACCTCATCTCTTTGAAAACAACAACAAAAAAAACCCCTAACTACATTTCAAATAAATAATCACCAATTACAATGAAGACAAAAAGAAAATAATTTAATCAAGTAACTTGAGCACAGTATTTTTGACTTACTCACAATCCAAAGATAAAAAGAACTCTAGGCCGGGTGCAATGGCTTATGCCTATAATCCTAGCACTATGGGAGGCCGAGGTGACTAGCCTGAGCAAAAAGCGAGACCCCGTCTCCACTAAAAATAGAAAAACGGAGGCAAGGGCAGCACCTGTGGCTCAGTGAGTAGGGCACTGGCCCCATATACCGAGGGTTGGGGGTTCAAACCCAGCCCTGGCCAAACTGCAACAAAAAATAGCTGGGAGTTGTGATGGGTGCCTATACTCCCAGCTACTTGGGAGGCTGAGGCAAGAGAATCGCCTATGCCCAGGAGTTGGAGGTTGCTGTGAGCTGTGACGTCACAGCACTCTACTGAGGGCGACAAAATGAGACTCTGTCTCTAAAAAAAAAGAAAGAAAGAAAGAAAAACAAAAACTGAGGCAAGAGAATCGCTTGAGCCCAAGAGTTGGAGGTTGCTGTGAGCTATGATGCCACAGGACTCTACCCAGGGCAACAACTTGAGACTCTGTCTTAAAAAAACAAAAAAAAGGCTTGGTGCCCCATAGCTCAGTGGTTAGAGTGCTGGCCACATACACAGCAGTGGTGGGTTCAAACCCAGCCCAGGCCTGCTACCACAACCACAACCACAACAAAAAAAAGCCAGGCATTGTGGCAAGTACCTCTAGTCTCAGCTACTTGGGAGGCTGAGGCAAGAGAATCACGTAAACCCAAGAGTTTGAGGTTGCTGTGAGCTGTGATGCCAC